GGGTTCGTAGCGCAGTGCGGTAACCGCTACACCACCGCTCCATCTCCCAACAACAATGACAACAACAACAACCTCCCTTCACCACTAACACCACGCCCGGCAGCCTTTGTCTCCCCAGATGCACCACCCACACACACCACCACACACGTTGCAGATCGGAAAACCACCAAATCAAAATGAAATGTTTTAATCAGCAGCAGCAGCAGTGACTCACAACGTCCACCGCATTGCACCGAAGCGGAGCAGACGACAGAGAGGTGACACTTTCCACCATTTTACGAATGCCCAACGACCACAACGACTACCACGGATGTATGATGGTGCGCAGGGATGGATGTGCAAAGCTTCACGCCGCCAACGAAATACACGACGCGCAACGTAAGTGTCCCGTAAATACCCTGTCAATGTCCCGTAAATGTCCCGTCAATGTCCCGTAAATACCCTGTCAATGTCCCGTAAATATCCCGTCAATGTCCCGTAAATGTCTCTTAAATGTCTCGTAAATGTCCCGTCAATGTTCCGTCAATGTACCGTAAATGTCCCGTCAATGTACCGTAAATATCCCGTCAATGTCCCGTCAATGTCTCTTAAATGTCTCGTCAATGTCCCGTAAATATCCCGTCAATATCCCGTCAATGTCCCTTCAATGTCCCGTAAATGTCTCGTCAATGTCCCGTCAATGTCCCGTCAATGTCCCGTCAATATCCCCGTTGGTTGTGGTTGTTTTTGTCACCCTCTCGTTGTTTTTTGAGTCGCGACAATGTGCGTAGGGAGGACGCGATAATTACCCCCTTTGAAATCGACGATGAAGATTCATTTCCATCAGTTACATCTTCTCGACTCGTTTTCGCTTCTTGTATGTGTGTATGTGTGTGATCCCAGTGTTTGGTATGCATTGGATTTCTCTCCTGAACCTCGCACTCCCTTTGATTTGTTGTTTCTTTTGCTCGCCGAGGCATTTAAGCGCTCGTCCTATAAATGCAAATCCTTTTCCTTTCTTGTATCTACAGCACGCGCCCGCCGATGAAGAGCTTCCAGGTGCATCTGTGCGCGCAGCGCTACGAACCTGGCCACCCGAGTTCGATTCCCGCTCACGGCCAACACCGGCGACGATTTTCTGAACAGGGGCCCTGAGCCTTCCCTAGGTAGACTCAGCCTCAAATGAGTACCCGATTGCGGTGTGTGCGAACATCGCCACTGAGAAGACAAAGGCGGTCGGGCGTGGTGTCGGTGACCACCCCCCCCCCTCCGTGTGCCACAGTGCCGGCCTTCATAGCTACTACTCGCGAACAGCACTTGCCCCAACAGTCTGCTAAGGCTACACGGCGGGGGGGAGGACCTTTATCTTTGTCCACGTGCACACATTCATTCATGCAACGATTTTCAGCGCGAACAAATTGAACTTCAGTCGGACGCACGGCGGGGGGGGGGGGTTGAACTCCGCCCGAATGGAGGAGCGGGATGGCTTGAGTCGCATCGCACGAACGGAGAGGGATGACGGTGTTGTTGTTTTTTTGGGGGGGGTGAGGCCCTTTCATTTACCCAGGACGCGCAAGGGCATCGCCACGCGAACTCCGGGACCGCCGTAGGCGCCACAGCAGCAGCGGCGGTTCGGCTTTTGGCTGCTAAGTAGTCGAAGTGAGGCGGTGGCGCTGCATCGCGCGGCGCTTTCGGATGCGCTTTGTGCCGTCCCGTCTGGAACGCCTCTTAACTTCCGATAGTTCGACACCACTGGAAGCCGTGCACTTTTTAAAGCAGATCGGAAACTCCGTTTCTTGAGGAGCGCTCTTTTTTTTTTGTATGTCGTGTTTGTTGTCCTTCCCCCGCGTCTCCGATGAGCACTGTGGCTACGTAGCGGTGCGAAACGGTTTCAACATCATACATTAATTCAGCAGTTTATAGAGCGCCGGTTTGATGATGACCTTTATAACGAGTTATTTGTATTCATCTTAGTCACGGGTGCAACGATTGGTTAATACTTCATAAGGAGAGATAGAGAGGTCTGCTTGCCTATGCAGTTGACAGGCGGATTATATTTAAAGGGGAGACGTCTTCATTTTTTTGTATTTACCATATATGACAAACAGAATATGTATTCATACTGGAGTAATCCGATGAGCTATGAAGCTCTTTTTCACAGATGTCCATATATACACGTTGCTTTTGCAAACGAGATGCCGAACTGACTTCATCGCTGTGCGTGCATCCCTCTTGTTATTCACCTCTGACGGAACAGCTGCACTGAGACATCCGGGGATCCGTTCATGAAGAGTAAAAGTGTCAGTAACCAATTCCCCATTGTCTAAAATCATGGATTGTTTCACACACACGAGACAATAGCAAGTAGCCTGCACCATATCTCATCATCATCATCATCAGGACGAGTCGCGAGCGACCTCGGGACGCAGAGGTTCCAACCCGAGACACATCGACGAGGGTGGTTCCTACCCTGCGCTCGCCACCACGCTGAGTGAGTGGTCCAAGGCTATGGTGATGATGGTAGTGGTGGTGGTGGTGACGATCGGCAGTCTCGATCGTGAGTGGTCCACGCCAGCCGTGGCCTACCCCTGCGGGTGCGGGGGATCGCCTCCGATCTCGTCATGGGACGCCGCCGCCGCCGCCGATGATCACGAGCTCGCCCCCAGGGGTTCCGGTCTCGTCTGGGCCCCGCCTGGTCTGCTGAGAGGTCCCTTTGCCCGACCAACGTGTTCGCAGGACGCAAGTCTTACCATCATGTCGCACCATTTTGTTTTTGTTTTAAAGAAGACACTCAAGTAAAGATGTGCACGTGCTGTCGGGGACGCGGAACCCCACAGCCAGTGCCTGGGCCAGACGCAACAACTTCAGTCGGACCAGGCCCTCTGTGGTCACCCACACGAGAAGAGGCCTGCCGCTTTGAAAGGGTCAACCGCGAGCACTATTTGCCCATCACTGCCAGCATCTTGGCCGCACTAATCGGGCGCTAGAGGGGAGGGAGGGTGTGGGCTGGCATTCAACCTCGCGGCAACTCCATTTCTAATCTCCGTTGCGCTCAGTTTGTGTCATTTCAAGGGTTGTTTTCTCTCTCTCTCTCTGTGACAGTCCGAGGTTGTTCCCCGCACCTCCGATGAGCATGGCTGGCTACGTACGGTGCGAAAGAAGTTAAACGTCCACACGTTGTCCTCGTCGTTGCTGTTACACGTGTATGGCTGCCCCTGCTAAAGCTGTTTGAATGTCCGAGTTGGCCCTCAGTAGGGGAAAGAATCTCCCTCCACAGTTCCCCCCCTCCACAGTTCCCCCCCCCCCCACATCCCCCTCCGCCCCCCACAGCCCCCCAGCCCCCGCCCGTCCTCTCTGTCCACCTCCAATCCTCCACGCCGGACCAGACGACGCGACGCGGCGAGCTTCCAGCCAGCATCGTAGTTAGTCAGTCTGACAGTCAGTCTGTCTGTCTGACAGTCAGTCTGTCTGTCTGACAGTCAGTCTGTCTGTCTGGCAGTCAGTCAGTCTGTCTGACAGTCAGTCTGTCTGTCTGGCAGTCAGTCAGTCTGTCTGGCAGTCAGTCAGTCTGTCTGTCTGGCAGTGTCTATCTGTCTGGCAGTCAGTCAGTCTGTCTGGCAGTCAGCCAGCCAGCCAGTCTGTCTGTCTGGCAGTCAGTGTGTCTGTCTGTCTGTCTGGCAGTCAGTCTGTCTGTCTGTTTGTCTGTCTGTCTGTCTGGCAGTCAGTCAGTCTGTCTGGCAGTCAGTGTGTCTGACAGTCAGTCAGTCTGTCTGTCTATCTGGCAGTCAGTCTGTCTGTCTGGCAGTCAGTCAATGTGTCTGTCTGTCTGGCAGTCAGTCAGTCTGTCTGTCTGGCAGTCAGTCAGTCTGTCTGGCAGTCAGCCAGCCAGTCTGTCTGTCTGGCAGTCAGTGTGTCTGTCTGTCTGTTTGTCTGTCTGGAAGTCAGTCAGTCTGTCTGGCAGTCAGTGTGTCTGACAGTCAGTCAGTCTGTCTGTCTATCTGGCAGTCTGACAGTCAGTCTGGCAGTCAGTCAGTGTGTCTGTCTGTCTGGCAGTCAGTCAGTGTGTCTGTCTGTCTGTCTGTCTGGCAGTCAGTCTGTCTGTCTGTCTGTCTGTTTGTCTGTCTGGAAGTCAGTCAGTCTGTCTGGCAGTCAGTGTGTCTGACAGTCAGTCAGTCTGTCTGTCTATCTGGCAGTCAGTCTGTCTGTCTGGCAGTCAGTCAGTGTGTCTGTCTGTCTGGCAGTCAGTCAGTGTGTCTGTCTGGCAGTCAGTCTGTCTGTCTGGCAGTCAGTCAGTCTGTCTGGCAGTCAGCCAGCCAGTCTGTCTGTCTGGCAGTCAGTGTGTCTGTCTGTCTGTCTGGCAGTCAGTCTGTCTGTCTATCTGTCTGTCTGTTTGTCTGTCTGGAAGTCAGTCAGTCTGTCTGGCAGTCAGTGTGTCTGACAGTCAGTCAGTCTGTCTGTCTATCTGGCAGTCAGTCTGTCTGTCTGGCAGTCAGTCAGTGTGTCTGTCTGTCTGGCAGTCAGTCAGTGTGTCTGTCTGTCTGTCTGGCAGTCTGTCTGTCTGTCTGTCTGTTTGTCTGTCTGGAAGTCAGTCAGTCTGTCTGGCAGTCAGTGTGTCTGACAGACAGTCAGTCTGTCTGTCTATCTGGCAGTCAGTCTGTCTGTCTGGCAGTCAGTCAGTGTGTCTGTCTGTCTGGCAGTCAGTCAGTGTGTCTGTCTGGCAGTCAGTCAGTCTGTCTGTCTGGCAGTCAGTGTGTCTGACAGTCAGTGTGTCTGTCTGTCTGGCAGTCAGTCAGTCTGTCTGTCTGGCAGTCAGTCAGTCTGTCTGGCAGTCAGTCTGTCTGTCTGTCTGTCAGTCTGACAGTCAGTCTGACTGTCAGTCTGTCTGGCAGTCAGTCAGTATGTCTGGCAGTCTGAGAGTCAGTCTGTCTGGCAGTCAGTCAGTCTGTCTGTCTGTCTGGCAGTCAGTCAGTATGTCTGGCAGTCAGTCAGTATGTCTGGCAGTCAGTCAGTATGTCTGGCAGTCAGTCTGTCTGGCAATCAGTCAGTGTGTCTGTCTGGCAGTCTTGCAGTCAGTTCGTTAATTAAAAAAAGAAATAAACCACGACCACAAATCTCTGGCCCTTGCCCAACTCCGTTTCCCCCCCCCAACTCCTTTATCACGACGCCGCTAAGTTGGCATCTCTCCTGTCGGTTCGCGCTCCGCGAGTCTCCGAACGTCGAGAGGGTATCCCCCCCCCGCCCTGCCACCGACTCCTTTTATGTCAACCGTAAATAGTTCGGCTTCGAGAATCAACAACAACCACGACGACAACAACAACAAAAAGCCCTTTTCCAAACGACGAAATCTAAACGTCGCCGAGGTCTGTTTCGTCCGCTCGCTCGCTCGCCCCGCGTCGCGAGTCTCAGACGGCCGCCTCGGTGCCACCGCCGCCGCCGCCGCCGTTCCGTTCGCCCTGCGCGACCGGCCGCCCCTCCTCGAAGCGGACCGTGGTGGCCGATCGCCTCTCGCTCTGCCCCTCGGCGGCGCGCGCCATCCTCGTGGTGCCTTTGCGCAGGCGCAGCGCCTGCTGGAAGCTCTTCTTGAAGTTGTCCGAGAGGAAGGCGTAGAGGATGGGGTTGGCGCAGCTGTTGGCGTACGACAGCACCACCACGGTCGAGTAGATCTTGACGAGCGCCGGCTCCTCGGGCAGCGCCACCACCAGATTGGCGATGTTGAGCGCGTAGAAGGGCAGCCAGCAGAAGACGAACACCGCCACCACGACCACCACCATCAGCGTGACTCGGCGCTCCGAGGCGCGCCGCTTGGCCGCGCCGACGCGCGCCCCCGACGACTTCACGCGCACGACGATGAGGAGGTAGCAGAGGCAGATGACGGTGAGCGGCCCGAAGAAGCCCAGCGCCGTCGTGTAGACGATGAACGCCGTGGACCACGTGGCCGCCGGCTCGGGCCAGTTCACGTTGCACGTGTCGCCCGCGTGGCTCGTGTACGAGAAGACGACGAGAGGCAGCGCGACGAGTATTGAGAGACCCCAGACGGCGGCGTTCACCGTCTTGGCAACGATGGGCCTCCGCCAGCGCGAGGCGCGCGCCGGGTGAACGACGGCCACGTAGCGGTCGACGCTCATCGCCGTGAGGCAGAAGATGCCCGTGAACTGGTTGACGCCGTCCAGCGCCATGACGATTCGGCACGCGAGCGAGCCGAAGGGCCAGTAGGAGAGCGCGTTCTGGATGGCGAGGAAGGGCAGGCCGAACATGAAGAGCTCGTCGGCGACGGCCAGGTTGAGGATGTACACGTTGGTGACCGTCTTCATTTTGGCGTAGCGCAGCACCACGTAGACGACGAGGGTGTTGCCCGTGAGGCCCACCGCGCACACCGCGAAGTAGACGAGCGGCAGCACCACGGCGCTCGCGGAGGAGAAGGAGGAGGAGGAGGAGGCGTCCTCCTGCCCAGCCTCCGTGTCGTTGCCGGAGACGTTGGGAGAAGAGCGGCAGGAGGAGGAGGAGGAGGAGGGGGAGGCAGTGGGGTATCCCGTGACGTTGGCTGGGCAAGAGGGGCCGATGCGCTCCATGGTGCGAGTCACGGTTGTCGACGCTGGGGTGGAGAGGGGGGCCGGGGGGTGCCTTCAGGCGCCGCGTCCTTCCCTCTCTCCGAAAAGGTCTCACTGGTAGGAGCACGCCCAGCCACGGCTTAGGGAGACGTGACAACAACAGCAACAGCAACAATAACGGACCCAGTTACAACGCGGCTAGAACAGCTGGCTAGAGTGAGCGATGAGTGGACATCTGTGAAAAAGAGCTTTATAGTTCATCGGATTCCTCGAGTTCGAATATATATTCTGATTCGTCAAACTGCATTAAAAAATACGTAAAATTAAGATTAATCATAAATCTAGGCGTCACTTAATGCCAAAAGAAACGTTTAAGTTGTTATTACGTCCGAGATAATGAATACTCGGCTTTGCTGACGTCAGTCGTTCTGACGTCACCCATTGTGACATCAGTTTATTCCGACGAGTGATGGCAGCGAAGGGTCGTGTTAGTTAACGAGTTGGAGGCGGGTGGACAATTTGGGCTCCGGCTAAAGACGAGCGAAAAACAAAGGTCTGTTTCGACAGCAAGTTTTGGCAAACGAAAGAAAATAATTATTCGAGCGACACAGCCAGATCAAAACAACATTGCCTCTTAATGAATGTGAGATGGCGGTAGTGTAGTGGTTATCTGAACCGATCCTGAGCCTCCCCTCGGTCGACAATGTGTGAACATCGCCACTGGGGAGACAAAGGCGTGGTGCTGGCCACCCACCCACCCCCTCGTGTTCCGCGCCGGCCTTCATAGGTGCAGCACTTGCCCCAGCAGTCTGGTAAGGCTATTTGTGGGGTCGTGGGGAATCTTTGTCTTTTGTTGGGGAATCGGGTGGTGGAATGGCTGCCCAAAGGAGGCAACCCGCCCTGGAAGGCGAACATCACAGCGAGGCCGTGAGCCCAGACCGAGATGCTTCACCATCCGACAGTGGCGTGACTTTAGATCTCGCTACGGTGGCGAGATGTTAACTCCCTCGCCTGGTATGCAGGAGGTCGTGGGTTCGATCCGGAGATCCTGACCCTGATGACGCCTGTATATTTGGAGTTTGCATGTTTTCTCTCTCTATTTCTCTCTCTCCCTCCGTGGTCGCGTTGTATTTTTCTCAGAGTCAAGCCCGATGAGCTAAGGAACTCTTTTTTTACGGGTAACTCGGTCGGCAGACAACATCAACGCATTCCACAATTACAGATTTGTAAAAAAAACCCCTTAACAATAACAATAGCAATTGTGTTGTGTTAATAGATCGTGGTGGTGTCATGGTGCCACGTGGGATGTCGATACCCATAGCGGGGGCCTTCATCCAGCGGTGGATTGCTCATTGACCAGAATGTAATGTGCTTTTTATTCGGGGTTGTGCGAACACACCCAGAGCCTGACCCCGCAATTCAATCGGTAGCCAAGACGCGTGAAGCCGCAACTCCTGGCAGGTGGCACCGAGGAGCCGTCTTTTGTCGCGTCCACAACACCTGATAGACGCTGTCAGTCGCTGCGCTGTTCATTCCCCACTGTTAGGGAAAGGGGGGGAGGCTGATGGTGCTGCTGGAGTTGGCGTCTCTAATGAATATAGCCTCGTCTCGAGACCCCTGAGTGGCACCCGCTGTAATGAGACATCCGCAAAATGCTTTCACGCGGTTTTAGCGTTAATGCGACTCAAATTAAGAGAGTCTTTTACCCGGAGAACGCTCTCTGGGTTCCCGTGCCGCTTTACAATTCCATTGTGGAAATGAACCAAACTAAACCACCCCCACCGTACCGCTCACGGTTGTCACAGTCACGGTGAGCGCGTGAATGTACTTGTCCACTCGAGCACACGAATTTTGTCAGTGCGCGCGCGTGCGTGCGTGTGTGTGTACATATATACAAAGATCTTATATTTAACTGAGATTAATGGATGGGGCCAAGTGCTATTAACGATTACGTGTAAAAGGCGAAACCCATCAGTCGCTTTCATCTCCCCGGTACAAAGACAAAGATACCCCGTGTAGTCTTTAAAAGGCTGTTGGGGCAAGTGCTGTTCGCGAGCAGCACCTGTGAAGGCCGGCACGGCACACGACGGGGGTGGGCGGCCAGCACCACGCCCGGCCGCCTTTGTCTCCCTATTTGCGATGTTCACACACTGCACCAGATACTAATTTGAGACTGAGTCGACCTAGGGGAGGCCCAGGATAATCGTCACTGGTGTTGGCCGTGAGCGGGAATCAAACTGGGCTCGTCGAGTTGGAAGCGCAGCGTAGCGCTAACCACACACAAAGACAAAGATCCCCCGTATAGCCTTAACAGGCTGTCGGGGCAAGTGCTGCTAGCGAGCACTTATAAAGGTGCGGAACGGCACACGAGGGGGTCGGAGGCCAACACCACGCCCGGCCGCCTTTGTCTCCCCAGTGGCGATGTTTACACACCGCACCGGGCGCTCATTTGAGGCCGAGTCGATCTAGGCGAGAGGCCAGGACCGGCTCAGATAATCGTCATTGGTGTAGGTGGGCGTGAGCGATCGAACTCGGGGCGATTACCGGTTTCGTTCGCGCAGCGCGCTAACCGTTGCGCCACCGCTCCCCATTTTGTCTCCCAAGTGCGCTAGGCGTACTCTCTCTCTCTCTAACACACACGAAACCTGGCTCAGGCTGAGTAAAGCTGAGGAAGATTCATTCAACGTCCAAGGTCAATATTCGGTGAGTTATATTGCACAAAGCCCAACAATCATCTCACTGGGATAATTCTGATCGTATTTTGCTTATCCATTCAAGCTTCAAAAGCTCTCTCAAGGCGTTTTTTTTCGTATTTTCTTTTCACGAGTTGTGCTGCACTGAATTGTTGGTGCCGATTCCATGACCAAAAAAACAGATACTGTTTGGCACGTGCGATGAAATTCAGAGTATCCCTAAGGGACCCCCCCCCCCCCCACATTCGCGAGGAGGGTGACGCACAGCCCTGCCACATCGCTGGCTACAAGACCCTGCCAGGTCTCCTTGACGCCTCCCATCCAAGACAAAGATCGCCCGCGTAGCCTCAACAGACTGCAGGGGCAAGTGCTGTTAGCGAATAGCACCTTCGAAGGCAGACACGGCGCACGAGGGGGTTGACGGGGCCAGCACCACGCCCGGCCGCCTTTGTCTCACCAGTGGCGATATTTAAACGCACCGCACCAGGTGCTCATTTGAGGCTGAGTCGACCTAGGGGAGGCACGGGACCGGTTCAGATATTCGTCACTGGATGTTGGCCGTGAGCGGGAATCGAACTCGGGTCGCCGAGTTCGTAAGTCAGTGCGCTAACGGCTGCACTATAGACCCGCATGTGCCCCTATAAACTCGCATACAAAGACAAATATCCCCCGTATAACCTTAACAGACTGTTTGGGGTAAGTGCTGTTAGCGAGTAGCACCTACGAAGGCAGACACGGCGCACGAGGGGTTTGACGGTGCCAGCACCACGCCCGGCCGCCTTTGTCTCCCTAGATTACACACCGCACTCGATACTCATTTGAGGCTGAGTCGACCTAAGGGAGGCCCAGGACCGGTTCAGATATTCGCCACTGGTATTGCCCGTGAGCGGGAATCGAACTCGGGTCGCCGGGTTCGTACGGCAGCGCGCGAACCGCGACACTAATGCTCTCCCATCACAGCACTTAATCAGCCTCTGCCCTGCTAATCTTCCGGGATTCAACAAAATTCGAACGTGTTCATGGTAACGGCGGCGGTAAGATTGCAGCTCAACGTGGTATCCAATATGCCGAGCACTCATCTACAAAGGCAAAGCCTCCCCTGCCCGTATAGCCTGTAACAGACTGTTTGGGGCAAGTGCTGTTAGCGAGCACCTATTGAAGGCACGGCAAGGAACACGAAGACGTAGCTGTAGAGCACCACGCCGAAGCGACCTCTTACAGAAGATGTCCCGGGAAAACCAGAGCAGGTGGAAAGCAAGGGGAGAGCTTCGCAGTTAGTACTTGTGTGGTGGAATATATTGCAACATTCAGGTGTTGTGTCGTTCGCACTTTGATTGCAAGGTATCCAGAAGGCAGTAGATAAATTGATTCTTGAATCCATCCGTGTGGAGCTTTGTGCGCTCATCCCCGTGTGTGGCTGATCGGCTGCCTCGGGCTACTTGGGTTCCTCTCTCACATTGAAGTCAATGACTCGTTCGTGGATATTGGAGACGCAACTCAGTGAGGAATCCTCCTGAAAGTGAGTCTAGAAGATAAAGGCGATGCTCTGCTGAGAGTAAATATTCTGTCATATTGAAGTCAATGACTCGTTCGTGGAATTGGAGACGCAACTCAGTGAGGAATCCTCCTGAAAGTGAGTCTAGAAGATAAAGGCGATGCTCTGCTGAGAGGAAATATTCTGTCGTACACATCGTACAAGAGCTGCATATTGACGGTTGGAAATTAAACTTCAGAAACGTAAAGAAGAACACCTGGGCAACTAGGGACAACGTGCATATTAGAGGCATCAGGATAATGGAACAAAAGTGGGATTGGAAAATACACATCGCTCGAAGGGATGATGGAATTGAAAATACATTGCTTTAGAACTGTGTTTTTTTTGTGTGTGTTTAGTTTGTTGCCCTTCCCCCCGCACCTCCGATTAGCGCGGTTGTCTACGTACGGTAGTGCGAAATAAGTTCAACATACGTACATAGATGATGATGATGATAGCTGATGGGCGAGACTGGTCATGGAATGGAAGCGAAAGGAGGAGAGCGCAATCCGATAACACGGCCACTGCGGAGATGAAGGGATGTATCCCAGGTCGGCATCATGGGGGATGGTGATGGCGAGAGAAGGAGGCTTTCATCCAGCAGTGGATAGACAATATCTGCTGATGCTGCTGATGCTGATGGTGATGGGTAGCACAGCACATTTCGCAAATCACGTTGGGTTATTTCAAAACGAGAGCTTCTACTGCGGAATCGTCAGCCACGATTGGGTGGGATTGCATGCCCGATTTTAATTTGTATTTGCGGCGTTGAGAAAGAAATAACGAATAATTGTTTGCTCCAGCGAAAAATATATTTATCATTCTTACGCTCACGTTTTCCAATATATATACCTACAAAGGCATGGAGGCTAAAGACCACGATTTTATATTTAAGATTTGCTCCCACAGCCCGTTAATCTGCCAATATCATCTAATCGGAATGGAGCACCAAATCCCATAGGTGTAACACTTACAATGCATTTACTAAACACTACACATACACACACAATTTATCATCACGAGTGCGACGGAATACCTACACAGCGCGGCTTATTTGTGTCCGTAAATTTGTTGTTATTCGGTCGACTCATGGTGAGAAGAAGCAGCATGCGTGCCTATGCACGGTAAAAAAACCCCATTACATTTGCAATACCAAAAATTTACCAATCGATGGATTCAAAGAAGCAAACTTACCCTGAAGGGTGCTGCTCTCTCTCTCTCTCCTCCACAGTAAACTGCTCCTTCAAATGCTGTCCCTATAGCTGCCCCAACTGCTACTACTGCTGCTGGTCTTACTGCTCCTGCTCCTTCAGCTGCTGCTGCTGCTGATCCTACAGCTGCCACTGCTCCTACAGCTGCTCCTACTGCTCATACGGCTGCTGCTCCGACAGCTGCTGCCACTGCTACTGCTCCTACAGCTGCTAGTACTCCTATACAGCTGCTGCCACTACTGCTGCTCCTACAGCTGCTACTACTCCTACAGCTGCTACTACTACAGCTACTGCTACTACTCCTTCAGCTGCTGCCACTACTACTGCTCCTACAGCTGCTACTAATCCTACAGCAGCTACTACTATTGCTCCTACAGCTGCTACTACTACTATTGCTCCTACAGCTGCTACTACTCCTACAGCAGCAGCTACTACTACTGCTCCGACAGCTGCTACTACTCCTACAGCTGCTGCTGCCACCACTACTGCTCCGACAGCTGCGACTACTCCTACAGCTGCTGCTGCTTCTACAGCTGCTGCTCCTACAGCTGCTACTACTCCTCCAGCTGCTGCCACTACTACTGCTCCTACAGCTGCTACTACTCCTACAGCTGCTGTTGCTGCTTCTACAGCTGCTGCTGCTGCTGTGAGTCTTCCGAGGCAAGCGTCCTTGCCTCTCTCCCTCTCTCTCTCTCGCACACTCAGACAGGACCCCACCCCCTCTCACCGCACCGCCCCCGTATACAGAGAGCGGCACGCGCGCACACCGGTGCAGGAGGCAGGAGCGAGGGGCAGGGGGCACGGCGGTGATTATGAAACAACGCATGGGCAGGGGGCAGACGGGGGGGGGGGGCAGCGGAGGGAGGGGAGGTGATGCACCGCAGGGTTCCGGGATGAGTGCACTTAGCAGGTATTTTTTCGTTCCCCCTTTATAATCGACAAACCGGTAGACCTTTAGTGCCGTAATAACAGACGGGGGTCGGGGGGTAAGAAAACGTCCGAACAATAATGGGTCCTCTTAGCGCTTGCTAAAGCTGTCATGTTGGTTGCCACGGACCGGCCCTTGGTGAGAACCCCGTGGTCAGAACGCGAGCGATGAACGGGTTGGGCGCCGCGACGGGTAGGAAGATGTTCACGACCTCGCCTGGTATGCAGGAGATCGTGGGTTCGATCCCGATCCTCGACGCCTGCTGTAATATTTGGAGGTTGTGCGTCTCTCTCTCTCTCTCTCTTTCCCCGTGGTCGCGTGGGGTTCTTTTTCTCTTCTCTCCTCCACGTTTAGCATCAACGTGTGTTCGGAGTATGTGGCCGCTATACATTTCCACGCGCATGATGGTACACCACTTTCGTCGAGATATCATTTGTGGCTGCTGTCAAACCCCCAATGGTTTCCAATGTGTGGTGGTGGCACCTGACACACTGACGATGTCTTATTGGCGAAAGCCCCCCCCCCACCTCCACCCCTCCCCCCCTTCTGAAATTGAGTTAGGAACACTGCACCTCGAGCGGATGAGATGAACGGGCACTGAAACCACGTCCTCGTTGCTTTAAACGGAGGGGGGGGGGTAATCAATCTATGAATGAACGCACCATCTTCAATCAGAATCAGGCTGTACTAGACTGGTGCACGACAGCAGCTATTATTAGTGTAATGACAGCAGATGTCAACCTACGGTGCGAGTGGACTAGTGGCCACGGGAGGTAATGACAGGAGAGTCAGCCTGCAGTGCGAATGGACGAGTGGCCACGGGAGGTAATGACAGGGGAGTCAATCTGCAGTGCGAATGGACTAGTGGCCACGGAAGGTAATGACAGGGGAGTCAGTCTGCAGTGCGAATGGACTAGTGGCCACGGGAGGGAATGATAGGGGAGTCAATCTGCAGTGCGAATGGACTAGTGGCCACGGGAGGTAATGACAGGGGAGTCAGTCTGCAGTGCGAATGGATTGGTGGCCACGGGAGATAATGACAGGAGAGTCAGCCTGCAGTGGGGTCTCCGCCTGTTCAAGTGAACGTGTCTTCAATAAATAAACCATCTCAAGACACGTGTGTCAAGTCGTCATTAAATTAGCATTGGTGTAATAGGCATTGTGAAACTAATCAAATGCAACAATATATCATCCTCCCCCCCTACATAACCTTGACAGTGCTCTGTTAGAAGTAGCTATGAAGGCCAGTACCAGCACAGGAGGGGCGGTGTGGCGAGCAACGTGCTCTGGACGCCTTTGTCTCCCCTGTGCTCATGCGTATACACTCGCAGCAGGTACTCATTTGTGGCCGAGTCGATCTAGAAGACGCCCAGCTGGACTGGTTTTAAATATTCACCGCTGATGTGAGCCGTGATCGGGAAATAAACCGGGCTCGCAATCACCACGAAGACAAAGACCGCCCGTATAGCCTTAACAGACTGTTGGGGCAAGTGCTGTTAGCGAGCACGTAATGAAGGCCGGCACGGCACACGAGGGGGTGGGTGGGCAGCACCACGCCCGTTCGCCTTTGCCTGCCGAGTACTCATTTGAGGCTGAGTCGACCTAGGGGAGGCCCAGGACTGGTTCATATAATCGTCACTGGCGTTTGCCGTGAGTGGGAATCGCACTCGGGTCTCCGGCTTCGCAGCGCAGCGTGGCTCTAACCGCTACACCACCACCACCACCACCACTCCCAAATAATTCGCAATCACCACCGTCGCCACCCATCATTGTCATCATCACCACCGTGCCGCGTGCCGCTATCAATCACGGGACTTGGGTCAACCGTCAATCACCGGCTGTGACACCGCTGTCCGCATTCATGCTGCAGCGACGCACGCAAGCGCACGCTGTGCGTGAACGTCGGCTCGTGACCGACGACAGATGGGGGAGGGAAGGAGGGAGGGAGGGGAGGGAGGGGAGGGAGGGAGGGAGAGAGGGAGGGAGGGAGGGAAGGAGGGAAGGAGGGGGAGGAGGGAGGGAGGGAAGTGGGTGAGCAGACGCGTAGGAGGATGGTGACGGAATGACGACGACGTTGATGATGGTGCGTGTGTGTCTGCAACCGCGTTTTTGTTTGTTTGTTATAGCGCAGTGTCAATGCTCACAGGCGTAGCTAAGGCGCTTCAGTTGGAGTTACTGCTTTCAAAGCTCGCATAACGAGAGAGAGAGAGAGGAGTCCATCGAGCTGAACTCTGTCAAGGCGATTGCAGGACTCGGAGCACAGAGCCCCCTTGTGATGCTGTGCCAACCGATAAAAGAAATATCAAAGGGGCAGATTCACGTCTCGATGGGTGATGGGGCGGACACTCAATGGTAAACCGCTAAACCGAATGAGTAACGAACCACACGACCTGCTTTTATTTGTCGTGCATTCTGCTAACATTGCCTCACTTCGCCCACCTCCCAGCGCGTCCAAGGGAAGGATGTACCAACATTTATTTACTTGCCTAAACTAAATTATTTTTTTAGAAGGGGGTCTGAGCTTTGAATCTGTTCATCCGTGAACATCTGTGGGGAAAAACTAACCCCCCCCCACCACCACAAGTTTCATGGCTCATCGGATTCCTCCAGGATGGGGCCTGAGCAGGGTGTCCCCCTGCCTGCATCGTTACGTCGCCGTGAATTGATATTTAGACGCACGCCTCGGTGCTCACCTGCAGTCGTACTCTGTGTCTCACATCGAGAGACAAATCAAGGGAGACGCGTGGATCGCAGAATGCGCACACGCTCGAGGCAGCCTATGGCTATGTGTACGCACGTTGTTGAACTTCTTTCGCACCGTACGTAGCCAACCGCGCTAAATCGGACGTGCGGTGGGGAAGGACCGCAAATTAAACACACAAAAGGCAGTACTGAAATGAATTTATTTTCAATATAGATTGTTTAAAAGTGCGTCGTTCCAGTGGCTTCCTAATATCGGAAGGAAGAGCGTTCCAGACGGCCCCAGAACGCGCATCTGAAAGCGCTCGATGCACTGACCGTCTTTGTTCGATGGACAGCCAAATGTCGTGATGTGTTAATGAATTATCCAGAGGTGTTCATTTGAAGCTGTCGTGACTGCAGGAATCCATACTCTGGTCATTTGGGTAAAGTCACGTAGATAGAAAAAAAAATAATAAAAGAAAAGAAAATACGACGTTTCGGTCGCAACACAAGCGTCCGTCTTCACGGACGCTTGCCACAACAGCAGATAATTTATTCACACCTGAAGACGGACGCTTGTATTGCGACCGAAACGTCGTGTTTTCTTTTCTCTTGTTTTTTTTATATCTACGTGACTTTATCGAAAGAACCAGAGAGTATCCTGAGGTGCTCTTACGTGATTCTTACTTTAGTAAGCTTGCGGGCACAGTCTTATGGTAAGGGGAGGGGGGGGCAGGACTGACAGCAAACTGAACACAAAATGCCGTTTTTAAAGAAATGAGTTTTAAATCTGGCTGCTAACGTTAAGTGGACAACCGATCGCGAGTCGGGAAGATGACTTGACGGTTGAGGCGGATATTGACGTGGCAGCCAAAGCAAGGTAGACAGCCAGGAGGATGTCCGCTGTGGAGATGTCCACCGTGGAGATGGATGTCCGATGTGTAGATGGATGTCCGATGTGGACATGGATCCATGGCGAGCATCGGCCTGCGTGTGGGAACGAGAGACAGAATGGTGCATCGTGAGACCTGGGTAGATAGATCATGGCCGATGGAGATGATGCAATGCCATACACATGTTGACAGGCGTGTGTACACACTGCACACTCGTTGGCCTTCCCACGCACACTCAGATTAGCACGGCGTACGTGCAACATGCATACGTGCAACGTGATACACGTTGAAAGTATGTATGTTGCACGTATGCCAATCGATTTCTCTATTTGCCCATAACGTGACAACTTGTTTTGATTGCCCCTGTCGGGTGGTGGAGGGTTATCGTTGAACGTTGATGTCATACCCACACAACGCCTTGGTTAAGGCGCTATATACATGTGCAGTGTGCCAATTCACAGACACTGGTAGGAGTACTCCCTCTCTCTCTCTTATTCCGGCCTTTACAGCCCGAGGGGATAACCACACACCGGGTCGGGACGGCCCAACACGTTGCCAGACCCACAGCTTGAAGAGGGCGAAGATCACAACGCCGCCGCCGCCGACAGCACGACGAGTTCCACTCCAGATCGCAGCAGCCCCGACTGTGAGTCGGAACTCGCCTTTTATCCTCCCCAGCGTGGCCAGGCTCCGCCCTCGGCCACCGCACGCCTCTGGATCCCCCAGAGGGCTCCGTGCCTACCAATCTCC